CTCCGGAGTTTCCCCTCCTGCTCCTCCAGAGCAGCTCAGCCCTAGCGCGGATGAGAGGCAGCGTTTTTCACCTTCAGGGATTTTTCTCATTACTCATTAATAGAGAGATATGTATCTTGCCGGTTTTTTTTTTTTTTTTTTTTTTTTTTTTAATAAAGCAACAATCCTCCTCTAAGGAAATATGCAATTCTTTACTGTGGGGGGGGGGGCGACTCTCCCCTGGATCCCCGGGTCTGGAGCGCAATCTGGGAAGGTGATCCTGAGCCGCTTCGGTAGAGGTCACTTGTGTGTGTGTGAGTGTGTGTGTGTGTCCCTGGTGTTTGTGTCTAGCATATGCATGTGGTTTTGCTGACTGCACTTGCAGGCTTGTAAATTTTCACCATGGGAAATTACCAACAAAGCCCAATCTGTCTCCTGGCTGCTTTGCACTTTCCGAGGGCGGCTGTACTTGAGCGAGCTGCAGAAACGAGAGAGAGAAAGAGAGAGAGAGAGGGAGAGAGCCGCTTCGGTAGAGGTCACTTGTGTGTGTGTGAGTGTGTGTGTGTGTCCCTGGTGTTTGTGTCTAGCATATGCATGTGGTTTTGCTGACTGCACTTGCAGGCTTGTAAATTTTCACCATGGGAAATTACCAACAAAGCCCAATCTGTCTCCTGGCTGCTTTGCACTTTCCGAGGGCGGCTGTACTTGAGCGAGCTGCAGAAACGAGAGAGAGAAAGAGAGAGAGAGAGGGAGAGAGAAAAGGGGGGAGTTGGGAGGGGGGAGAGGAAGGGTGGGTGGAGGGGGGAGAGAGGTAAATAGCCTTAAATCGGAAGGGAGCTGCTTCTCTGTGGTCTTCCACAAGAGCTGCCTGGGCTCTGCTGGCTCAGTAATAACTGAGTGACCTTTTCTTTTGCTGTATTATGTCTGGCTGGTAAGGGATTGCGTTTTGCAGCTGATAAAAGCCCTGACTTCATTCAACTCGGCTCCTCACACGCTGCTTTAGGTAAGTTGTCTTCAGCCAGGACGGAGACAGACAGCCTTGGACTGCAAGATTCTAAAAGGAGGACACCTGTAGCTCGGATGCGGTCAACACAATTACTTGGCGGATCCTTGAGGACCTCATTATTTTAAACTTAAAGAATAGCGATCTCCCTCCCCACCTCTCCCACCCCCCCTCTTTATTTTTTTATTTTTTTTTTTTTCCCCAAACAATGCTTCTTTTTGACCTTTTCCAAGGAGAAGAGCTACAAAGCAGCCACTGTGCTTATTGAACTGCCTCCCCTGTATCGCTTAATTGAGAAGGTAAGTGAGGCAACTGTGTACATAAGCTTTGGGTCATTTGTGTATGTGTGTCTGCATCACTCTCCCTCTCTCTCTCTCTCTCTGAGTCATAAGCCGGGGCTGCAATACACACACACACACACACAATCTCTGCACTGCAACTTTCACTCAAGCTGCAGCCTCTGCCGAGACTGTTTTGTTTAAATCATGTGAGGCTTCATTATTTTTATGATGAGACATGAAATACACGCAAGCGGGAGGATGCTGAGCGGAACCCATCCGGCTGTATGTCTCGAGAAATAGCAAAGTTAACAATGAATTGCAGCACACACT